GACAAGAGGGGCGTAGAGCTTGTAGAGAGGGTCCAGCGGGGAGCGACCAAGATGATGAAGGTACTGGAACATCTCTCGTATGAGGAAAGACTGAGTGATCTAGGCCTGTTTAATCTGCAAAAGATTAAGAGAGGGTCTGATTAGTATTTATAAGTATCTGAAGAGTGAGGAAGGAGGGAGGAAGAAGCCAAACTCTTCTTGGTGGTGGCCAGTGATAGACAGGGAGTAATGGTACAAGTTGAAACAGAGCAAGCTCCATCTCCATGTGAGGAAGAACTTCCTTCCTGTGAGGATGCCCGAGCCCTGGCACGGGCTGCCCAGGTGGGTTGTGGAGGCTCCTTCTCTGGAGATCTTCCAAACCCACCTGGATGCGACCGGGTKCCCCGTGCTCTGGGTGTCCCTGCTGGAGCAGGGSRTTGGACTRGATGACCTCTAGAGGTCCCTTCTAACCTCAACCCTTCCGTGATGCTGTAAACCCAATGTGGGCTTTCTGTATGCCAGGTGGAAYGGAAGTGAGACACTCCTTGATTCCTGACTGCAGAGGAAATCCCTGGTTTTTCCAATATTCCAATATTTCCAGTTTCCAATATGTCTTTTTTTTTTTTTTCTTTTAATGCATTTCTTAGTTGGAGATTTCCTCTATAGAAACAATGAAAAAATGCCCTGCATCAGCCCTAAAGGTAGTATGCCAAAACCAGAGGCCTGAACTCAACTGCAGCCTTCTGTCCATCTTTCTTGCCTGACCCTTGCAAGCATGTTATTAGGAGATGGGGAATTTATCTGAAAACTTTCAGTAATCAAATAAACCGGGCACAGATGCTGCAAGCACTTTCTCATGATTTATATGTAGTATTTGGTGGCTGGATAATTCCTTGAGAGGCCAATATCAAGAGATCAGGATATGCGGTGCCCGCACTGACACATGAACCTTGATTTATATGTGAAAAAAAAAAATTGGCGTAATAAAGATTAACAGAGAAGTGCAGTGATATTATTAAAAGTTCAGTAGGTTTTCTCACTTGCACTCATGTCAGAATGATCCTAAGGAAAGCTCCTTTTACAGTGTTGCATCTCAGTTCTAGAAACCACAGTCTTAAGACGGGAGTTTAAATTAGATGACAAAAACGTTATATTAAGTAAAATTAAAGGGCTAATAAAAAAAATAAAGTGAACTAGACTCAGTTTGTACTTTGACTTACCCACTTGATCTCAGGCATCATGATAATCATCTGCACTGCTTTGGTAGAGAAGCTTATTTGGGTAAATGCACTGAATGTGAATGTCTCTGAGCTTTTGAGTTTAAATTGGTCATTAGCATTGCCTTTTATTTTATCCTCTTAACATTTATGCACTCAAAAAGGGAATGCTTTCTTAGCCTAGCAAGAAGAGTTTGTATTTTCCTTTTTACACTCTCAGTTGCAGACAATAACCCCCTAATGAGAGTTGAAGGTGTGTGATTTTTTTTTTTCTTAGTTTATTCATTCTGAGGAAAGAGATTTTGGTGGGATGAAGTGATTGATGGTGGACGACTGTTGTTTCTTTCTTGAAATATTGCTAGAACTCTTAAAAGGCAAATAGGTGTTAAAGACTATYCCATGTCCCAGGCAGCAGTTTATGCCCTAAACAAGTGAAATGCTACCACACACAAGTGAAGATCACAGTGCAATATGAACTAAAAACTTTATGATAACTACTATGATACTTTAGCTTGAAAAGCTATACGCTGTGATGAATAAGCTCATATAAAATAACGTTTAAAGGAAGTTAATGCACCAGAAAATGAAGTAGGACCTAATTCAGCTTGGTGGTATAAGAACTAGCATGCTACATTCAGTGTGAAATATGGGCTATCTTGGGAACACAGCTGGATACTCTTTGGACCAGGGTCTTGAACCAGAGCCAGAGAGATTAAGCTMGCCTAACTAATAGTAATGATTCTTTTCTTTGAGAAATAGTCAATGGAATTACTTTATGCTCTCCTTGTAATAAGAGGTGTCTGTCTGTCTCTAAGGCCCTTGGCTGGACGTGAACTTTAAGGGGGAAAAGGAGAATTGAGTGATTTGGAGGCCAGCCCTGCTCTGCTAGAGTCTCTTTGTAAGTCTCAGCAGATCAAACATCTCAGGCAGTTGCTATGAAACACAGGCAATAATTACCAGGCCTCRGTCTCACATTTGCAAAATGCAATTAAAAAACATCTCTTTCACTGGCGTATACTCRAATGTATTGAGAAACGCATTGCAGATCAGACGATCAAGGAAGAAATATCAGATGCACAAAGACTTAAAAATCCATTCTCAGTTATACCACTGACAAAGCAGCATAGGATTAGAGTTTTCATAAACTTTCCAATTCTCTTAGGAAGATTACTGAAAAATTCCCCTCTAGAGTTCCTTATGCGGTGACATCAGTAACAAAATRAAAGTAAAGTTTCATTTTTCCCTGAAGTTCTTGTAAGTTAAAGTTATAGCTGTACCTCTCCATATCTGATGAGCAGGGAATACAGCATGTTCTCGGCTTCCTTAGCTTTTATGGAGACAATGATTCACCCTTTGAGCCACTGGGGGTTCTGTGATAATAGGAGATAAATCTGAAATTCTGTGAAACAATGAGCAGTTTTTAAAATAGAGGGTTTTTTTTCCCTAAGGCATTTTGTTCCCAGCAAGTGCAGATTTAGATGTTTGGGTTGGGGGGCTGGTATCTGCATACCGYTTATTTTAGAGAGGCATCTTATAGCAGCTACTTTCTTGTAAATACTCGAAAATAAATGACAGGTGAGAATATGCCTGAATTTCAGCAGTGTTTCTGCCTATCCACACTTTGCATAGTGAGCCCTCTCCATTTCCTAGAGAAAAACTGTGACTTTTTGCTTGTTCACCCCGTAAGTGGTGAATTCACATGAGAGCATTTCGTGCTTCGTGGCAGACGCAGCCTCGACGTATGTGAAGGATGGGGAGGCCTGATCCTTACGTGCATGTGAAAATGAGTCATTTCCTCTCTCTCCACTCCCGACTTTTTCTTTCTTCTAGTCCAGAAGTGTTGTCTATTGTGGAGCCAAATGCATACAAGTATGTAGGTTCCTGAGACCAGAAGTGGTTGTATTTTCAAAATGTGAAAGTAATAAGACAAATYCTGTAAAGGTTTTGTCTCTAATTTCCCACTGATTTCTGCCAATGCTTCTTTTATGAGGTTTCTTTGGGTGCTTTTGTGAATGATTGCACTTTTAAATAGCTAACAGTGGCCTTCCTGGCTCTAGGCTATCTTGACTGCTGTTGTAGTTGTGCAGCGTAAGAATACGGCACGTGTATTAATAATCAACACGCAGCTCCATAGACTTTTCATTTATAATCATTAAGTACTCAAGCTCGAGTACATTCATTTTTCTGCCCCCCTGGTTGCACGCTGGAGACTCGAGTCTGGCTTTATGTGATCTCTATTGGCAGCGTCAAGCTGCCACTTGCAAAATAGAACAGCTTGAACTTTTCACAGTTGCAAATCAGATTTCTCTATCGGATCAGTGATTTTTAAAGGGCAATATTTTCCTTTTTACCTAATTCTGTTACTCTCTGTGTACTGGATATAAACAATCGAAATAGCCTGGATTTACCCTTAGATTTTCATCCGAGCAGAAAATAAACATCCAGGCACTGCTCTGTGACAATGGCTCTCTGGGGAAAAGAGATATAGGCACTTTTTTCTTTTTTTTTTTCTCCTGGGTAATTTCTTCAGGTCGTTTTTTTTTCAACCATCAGCATAGCTCCGTGACACATACGTTCCTTTCCCCTAGGGCCAGGGGCACAATAACTCTGGATTAATGCACACAGCCTCCTCGCAAGCTCTCACTTAACGGAGTGACAGGACGGTGGCAGAGCCCATTCCCGCTCTCTCCTGTGGCTCTCCGTGGTGCACAGGCTGCTGGAAGAGCTGTGCGGTCYGGACACGCTGCCTGAGGAGCAGCTTGGCTGCAGGACAGGGCCTTACCAGCGGCATCTCCGCGCTGTCTCCCAAGGAGATTGCCATGGGGAGCCCATCAACACCCGCTCTGTTCGCTGCTGTTTCGCTGGGCAGGGAAAATTCTTGTTTCAGGACAAATGCAGAGGCTTTCAAACAGAGAAGGAAAGCGAATGACTGAAGTCCATTCGTGTGCCCTGAGTTATGGACCATCAGCCAGGAGCATGTGTGCAAGTCATCACGTCACACAGAAGAGCGGGCCACGCTGCCCTTCATCTCCACGTACCCACCAGCCCCATCAGCCTGGGCATCCTCACGCTACCACACATCCCAGGAGCGGTTCCCTGCTACCCTTTGCCCTTCACTTCCCTTTCTAGATGATGCGTTTTCACCTTTTGCCTACTTGCCAGTTAGCAATTCAGCAAATATCGTTGGATTTTCTGCTCTTTATCAGCAGCCTCCTCCCTTGTGGCTAATTTCTATTTCATGGTAATATACAGATGGTGGGTTTTAGGTGGAAGAGCTAATTAGAAATTTTGAGTTAAGTCTCAGAAGAGTAAGCTGTGTGGTTGGATTAAAAAAAAAAATTAAAAAAGAGCTTTTTGTTTCCTGAATATAAATCTGACAATATTTAAACATGCATAGCATCTTAGATCAGAGTGTAGGAAGCGGCTGCTTCCTGTAAATAGGACTGTTATGCCTGTGATGCACAGTTACTTCTAACACGCTCTCATCTTACTGGTGTAATAATCCTGGCAAAATGATCTCTATTGTTTTCTGCACTTGTAATTATGTCTGAGAGAAGACAAATTAGAAAGGTTCTGTGCTCCACAAAATAAACTAAACTTTCAATGGGGGAGGAGACTGATGGATATAACACCAACAGAGGGCAGTGAGTAGGACAAGAGCCTGTTTTTCAGCAGATTCTAAATAATTTGTAGTAATTATAAGTGGTCAGGTGGGTTTATTTCTTTTTATTGCCAAATATTTCATATTTTYCAGTAAAAAAGCAAGTTGGGCTGATAACTGGCAGAGCCTGTTGCTGAGGGGTCTCAGGTGCCCGTGATGCTGCATGGTCACTGCCAGGACGTTATTGCATCGTGAGAGATGAAGCTGATCGATGGAGTTGGGAATCCAAGGTGTCCAAAAACCCACTCTTGTGAGGCTCCTGGGATTATTTCACCAAGTGTTGCAGGTTTTGACAGTATCTTCATATTTACCTAGAATGAAAAGGTAGATTAACCTTCGAGGTGTTAAAGGAAAGCTTCCTTGGAACCGTGGGACAAGCCCTGATAGACATGAACGCGCCCCTGCAAACTCACAGGAGTTTTTCTTGCTCTTCTCTTCCAAAGAATATGCACAAGGGGATGGTTTGTGGTTTGAAAACTGCCTGATTCTAGCAGGCAAGAATCTCCTCCSGTAGCTTAGCAATGTGTCTCCAAGAAACTTGTAATAGCTGTAAACAGCAGGTAGTTTGCTTACTGTTAATAAATTGTGTAATTATGGAGAGGCATGGTCAGGGATCAGGTGTCCAATCGGCTGAACATCCACACATATGTAACAAAAACACTGCTTTAAATAACTTCTAGTTGAATAGGGCATAAAAAGTAGAGCAAATAAACTTGAATACAAGGTAACAGCATGGTATTTGCAGTCAAAGAACATAGTTGTATAGCTACTGTGCATTTCAGTGCCTTGATGCAAAAAAAAATATGGAAAAAATGCTTCAAGGCCCTCCTCACCCTCCCAAAAAAATCCTTCTGTTCAAACAGAATTTAAAAAAAAAAAAAAAAAAAACTTTCTTCTGTTTGGGCTGGGCTTTATCTCTAATAATTAGAAATAATTTAAATTTTCAATTGAAACAGTTTCAAAATTAATGCTTGAAATGTTCTATTTATAACATATTAATATCAAATGACTGTGAATTATCTCATGGGACCTTTTTTGGCTGTTATTATTTTGATGGTATTTTTTGTCAAATATTTTGTAGGCAGTGTGGAATAAATATTAAACACTTTACTAAACTCTTCTTTCTCTTCCATATCTATGTACTTATTGCAGGAAAAATATCAAGCAATAGCAATATGAGCCAGCCAAGGGTTTGCCTTTCGTCTTTCCTATACGTACACGTACCACGTTGTGTTGTGTCCTACATTTCAGGGATCTCTCTGGTGATGAATTAGAAAACAACGTATCTGTAGTGTTAGAATAAGAAGGGAAATCGATATAAAGCAATAAAGGCTTTTCTGAAGATTTAATTTGTAAGATTTATGCTTTAATTACAGTGAAAGTAGATGAGAAGGGGGTACGGGTGGGACTGGGATTGCAGGCTTCTGCTATTTAGAGCCTACAGAGTAAATTTTGAGCTACAGTAGGAAGGAAAATAAAAATTCAGCCAGCTGTAAAATATCATTCATGTAAATCTCTTTATAGTTATCCTTACTATTTTTTCTGGGACTTGATTCTGCAAAGATTTTTGTCCAGATTTAGAGTTATACTTAGTTTTGCTGCCCTAAGTCGCTATCATGATTTCAGTGGTTTGGGTATATCTGAATAACCTCGGGTATTAGTCGTTCTGGGATTGAAGCCTGTGTTTGTCTAGCGGGATATTTCTCTCCCAAGGCTTTGAATAAGAACACAGGAGACATTGGGCAGTGTAACAAGCTCTGCAGAGCRTTTGTACTTCATTTTTATTGCATATGAAATTTAATTTCCTACGGCTGATATTGCAGGCTAAGGTAATTTTATGTCTGCCTTATAGGAACAACGAAGACCTGGGCAGGTAAATACTGTGGTCTCTGGCAAGACAATGTATAGTGTATAGTCAACTGGAAAACACAGTTTCTCTTCCATGTAAGTTCTTATGACTGATTTCTTACCCAAAAAAAAAAAAAAAAAATTCTTCTTGAAATGCTTACTATCATTAATAATATATATCATACGCTCCTAACTCTCTCCTTGTCATTTACTGGGGGGTAGTTGGTGATAAAGCAGCTCTTATATCTACTACGCTACATTTGTTTTAGGCAAGGCCTCATGAAGGAAATGCACGTAGCAGTTCAGGCAGAAGATGGTAAGATCTGTGAGGAGCTATGGTCCTCGTAGGAGGATTTCACACTGTGGATTTAACCTGCTCTCATGTAAGTTCTTTCCCAGAKGGGTGTGGGTAAAGCTGTGTTGTTTGCAAGAATGTGAACAGCACCCAAGGGCTGGGGAGGCAATGGAGCCCTGGAAGGTTAGGACCAAGTTCCTGACCTGGATTGAAAATCTTTAGAAAGCCAGTGGTAAAATCATAGTGCATCTTTTAAACTACGTGAATGCTCAGTTTCTGCCTTCCTGTCCTTTCATGGAAGAGTGTCATTCTTCATGTCACTCAGTGTCATGGATTTGCTTCAGATCCTGGGATCTTACCCAAGTCTATATTAGGCTACAGAGAATGTAGTCTGGTATCAAACCTTTACTTGGTTTCTCCATGGGCTTAGGACGTATGACATTGGGCTGCAGCTGACCAGAGCCAAAGCAGCCAGTTAGGTTTATTCCTTGCTCGTGGGTGTAATGCGTGGTTGAGTCAATGCAGAGTGATAGAAGGAGTTATTCTGTATCATATCTGGTCACAGATAATAATGATTAATCAGCTTTCTTGGAACAGAGATGCTGTGACTGGGAGCCCTTTCATTAGTTTCTAAAATATAACATTTTCTGCTGTTTAGAATAATATTTCTTGAACTTCTGTGACCATGACATATTTCTTAGCGCTTGTCTCATCCAAGTCCCTTTAAAGTCTAGTCCGTGGTCATACAGTCATTTATTCCAGGAAGGCTGTTGTCAAGTGATACTCAGTTAAATTCAATATAAATAAGTTCAGACTAGGGCTGTAGACCAAGAATTCCTATTTAGCACATTTTTAAGATAAAATGTTACTAAATGTCACTAAAATGTTAGACTAAAATTTCACCTGTTCTTTCATTACCATCACAATTTTGTATYGGGTTGTGTTGATGTTCTTATCCCAGCAAAAACACAGATGCAGCTGTGATATTTCTATGAGAAAACAGAAAAAAAAAGCTTAAGTCAAAAGCAAGATGGACAAAAACATGTTAACTGCATAAATTTGGGTAAAAAATATAACCGACAAATACATATTTTTAAACATATTCGATTGGAGGAGAGTGACCTTTGCTGCATGGGCATGTGTTTTTCCTAATCTACAAGGAAACAGAACAGTGACTGGTACTAGAAGGAAGATCTAGTATGTCAGTGCATTTACATATAATTTTTTTTTCCTATTTGTTGTTTATTTTTCCTTCTGGTTTGCAACCTACAGTTCATTTCAGTTCATCTTTCTGTATTCTGTCAGATGAGACACAGTTTGAGGTACTTACTCATTTCCAGGTAATCTGCTGTTTCAGTGCATTARAGGCATTTTTTGGAAAAACAAAATGAGAATATCAAGAAATAAAATGGTTGCAGATAGTTTAGGGAGGTAAATGAGAATACAAGAGGAAATAATTTTGCTTATTTCTTCAGTAGTTTATTCATATGTTTTGTAGTGAAATGAATTGTTTAACATTATACTGTATTAYGTTTCTTCTAAAATTATTTAGGTGTTGTTATGAATTAAAGTTAATATATTTCAGTGCATATTAAAATCTATTGATGTGCACATTTTGTGTCAATATGTGCATATATTTACAAAAAAAGATGCATATGAGCATTTTTTATCAAGAAGATTAGATCAATATGCAATATGCACTGGAAGAGTTCCCTTGCTGAAGCAGATTAAAAATCCTTCTACAGGAAAACAAATTCAGACACACAAATCTTTCAGTTCCCTGCCTCAGCACTTTGTCCAGCTTATTCTTGAAATATGAATAGCTGGACAAATGACATGAACAATGGCTTTGTGGCGAGAGCTGGAATTCATCATAATCAGTCACAGGTGACTCTCGTGCTCCCGTCTATCTATCCCCATCTGCAGTTTTCATCTGTATCCTGGCATCATAACCTATTTTGGGGCATGAAGAAGGTTTCTAATCTGTGGCTAGAGCTGCTGGTATGATTGGCACTGCACAGTGAAATATTTTGCCATCTTGCAAGGTAGAGATGTGCTCTTCCTCAGTTRCCTGACACTTGCCCGTCATCAGGAGTCAGTTCCCCACATCCAGGGAGGCAGAGACATTTCTGGGTAGACTTCTTTGCTAATGCAACRACTAGAAGGCAGATCAAGATGAGTCAATATTACTTGTTACTCCATCTGAAGGAGAGACCAAAAGATAGGCCCAGCTGTATGGGTCTCAAAACTTAAGGTAATAACTTAGGGAGTAATGACACATTCTCTCTCAAGCTACACATATGCACAAGGTGTGTAAATTAAGAATGCTTCTGGTGGGCTGCATAATTTACAAGGTGTTAAAATTCCTTCTAAACCAGGCGAATGTGACTGAATTTCAATAAGATTAAATATAAATATCTTTATAAGAAAGATCCTTTCTTAAAAGAAAGGAAAAAACAGACATGACCAGCTCATCAAAGTATTTACTCTGAAAGAAGCCTAGAGGCGCATATGGACATAAGCTCTCATGAGATATTAATGCATTCTTTTCCTTCGATATTTTAGCTTAATTGGTTGCACATTTTTCGGGCTGTGCAGTCCAGCATTTTGCTCCATGGGGGTCATGCTCAGAGATTCTAAACGCTTAAGAAAAAGCAACAGGCAACATCCTCAAATGATCGGACTCACCATGAGTAATCACTATAAGATAGCAGCTAAATCACATTTAATCTCCACAGAATATTGCTATTAAAATGAGCGAAGGCAAACGCCCTTCCTGCAGTACTGAGGCAGGCAAAACAATTTCCATCCCTGTTCATCAGTGACCCTGAAACCAGGGAGCCCAGCGCAATCAAAACTGGGAATGCATGATTAAAAAGAGTCGGTGTAGTGTGATGGCAGTGAGCACAGAGAGCACCGGCAGGGACAGGCACAGATACCTGTTGCTTGATTCAGCTCCTCTAACTGTGAGTTGCTCTGCTAAAGCAGCATTTCAGTTTAAAAGGCCATGTCAGATAAAGTTAGTCCAAATGAAAACAAAAATATCATAGGCAGTTACCTGGAAAAGATGCAYGTGTGTTTGTGCATATATGTGTATGTGCCATGAAGTGTAGTGTTAAATTTTAAGTCGGAGTTCTGGAGCAGGTGGATTGGCAGCTTAAATATGGTGGCAGTATGTAGGACTGAAAACTTACTTCACTTAAGAAATAACTGAATATTAAAAGCATGATAAAGCATGATAAACTAAATAGAGAGAATGTGTTGAATTTGAATTTGCACTGTGGATGCCACAGAGTAGCAATGAGCTTTTGGGATGATTAAGGGACCCATGATTAAGGAGGAGAGGCTGAGAGCTGGAATTGTTTAGCCTGGAGAAGAGAGGGCTCTGGAGAATCCTACCAATGTGTATGCACAGAGGAGGATGTGGCAAGGACACAAGTACAGAAAAATTATTTTAAAATAACAATTTTACTTTTTGCTTAATAAAACATTATTTTAAAAGTATTTTATTTGCTGGATTCAGCACTGCCTACCTTGCTTCTAGGACTTTGCAATCATCTGTTTATGAACACCGTATGTCAGATATATACTAAAAACAAACACCTTACTATTTTTACAACATATTTGACTTCTACATATGTCCACAAAATCATAGCAACCTAGGATAAAATTCAACCTTATTGTTCAGCCTTCTTCAAGTCCCTTTTTATGTGAGACTTGAATGGCCCATAAATTTTTACTAGGCTCCATAAAGAAGGATGAATTTTGCTGGTAGTGATTACAAATCAGCATGGCTATGAATTTTCCATGCGTACTTTGCCAATGCAAGGCAAGCATTATAGTGAAATTGTCTGTGGGGTTTTCAAATTTGTTAGCAGAACATAATAAGGATACCTGATCAATTGAGCTCTACTACAYGGTTAGGAAAGCAGCACCGTTCTCATCAATTTGTTAAAACACGGTGTAATTTAGTGGTCTTCTGAGAAATCCTGGGCACACTAGAAAATTAAGTATTGTGTCTGTATGTGAATCAATGCTTAAAATATCCCTKTCACTGATATTAAGCTCTGACTAATGTGGATTAGGAAACTGATGGCCAAAAGTAGCTGAACACTTGAGGTTCGGACATGTACTATGCATTTTATCTCAGAAATATGCAGTATACTTAAATCAGACTTAAGATTCCCTTAAGGGACAGTGCAGAAGGCCTCATTAGCATGAGCTCTCTGTTTCCAGTAGGCTTTTTTCTGACAGGCATCTGAGGTTGTGAGTATCAGCAGCATTCAGATGTACTTTTGCTTGTATTACCCAGTTATGGGTAATACACCAATCACTTTCTGATGGAAGGAACTCTAGGAATATGAAGGACTGTCTGTCTGTTTTTGAGAAGGATCATGAATGAAGAGGCAGGAGCCTGGCTACTTTCTGCTGCTTTTATAGTCGTAGTGGAGTCCACAGACACGTGTTATTTTTTATTTGTTTGGCAGATTTTATGCTGGGAAAATATTGTATTTGGAGATTTTCAAATGCCAAGAAGAAAGCAAACTTATCACCCAGAAGACTAGAATTAGTATCTGGACGCTGCTATTTCATCCTGTAGGAGATCTATGCTTGCTTGGCATACACAGGATTTAAATAGTGCAGGTTTCAGTCACTGGTTAAAGATTAAAAGGGATGGATTTGTGTCCTGGCACATGAATATATGTTTTCCATTTGTTCCATTGTCCTCCACCAGGAGTATGATGGTCATGAATGCTAATGCTCCATAGGAAATGAGATCAATGCTGCTAAGTGATTATAAAGGTCTTTTTGGACACAATGCAAAGTTTGCATTTCTAGGTAATCACAGTCTTAATAATAAGGCTACATTACCAAAAAAAGATCATGGAAGGTTCTTAAATACAGTAGGCACAAAGACCAGGTTTGATTTCTCTCCCAGGATTATGACTGACCTGTGGCTTCTGGAGCACATAGAGCAACCAACACCTAAACTGTGGCTCTCAGAGCACTCTGGTCTGGTGACACAGCTGTTCCTGTGGAGGTTATGGGTCACCTGCATTCCTGCCCATGGGAGACAGCAAGCCAGGAGGCCCCAGGTGGCTGTGCTGGAGACAGGTGTGGCACACCTGCCAGCCCCTCTTCACATTCAGGAGACACTGACATYGTAAGACTGAATTTTCCAGGAGTTTACTCATCCTTCACGTAGTGACATTCTACTGTATCAAGCAAGCAGTCCCCAGCAAAAAGGATTACTGGGCATTTTTGCATCAAGTGCCTGTTTAGGGTCTATGTTTTTTTGTGATAGAGTCTCTTCTGAGATAGCCATGTAGCTTGAGTCAGCAGAAATTATAGGATATGTCATCCAATCTAAGAATTTGGTGCAATACACAATCCTCCAGCTGATAACAGTTTTTACAGCTGTCTCTGATTGCATCCAACAGACTGGAATTTGTAGGTGATAGAACCCACTTACACATGGATTCTGCTTGGATACCCCTGAAAAGGGAGAAGAATTTTGTTCCATCAAGCAGAAACTTTAAGACCAAAGAGCTAATCTACTTCTAAATGATTCATCAAATGAAAATGCAACTTAGATTCAATCGCAGATGCCTCTCTTGTAAAGAAAGTGGCTAAACTCTATCAGAGCAGAGGATGCCAGATGAGCTCAGCCTTGAAGATGACTACTATGTTCCTTGCTTTTAATAATTTTTGTTTTCCAAGAAAATCACTCTGTTAGAARGAAAGGGATTGGACAGGGACCCCACCGCTTGCCTCGAGTAGCTTATGATAATCTAAGGGGTTTTAATGAAGAGGACCCTTTCTTCAAGAGCTCATCTGCCAGCGGAACTCAGTGTGACATGCGACACGTACACTGACATGAAGGGCTCAGTGTCAACCCTCTGGCTCTATCACTGCTTTTATTTCACACGGTGAATACATTTTTAATAGAAGCAGGGACTTCTGCCTAGTACGGGTGGTTTGTTGGGGG